ATAAAATGAAGAAGGAGTAGCGGCTACATAGAGAGGAGAAAGAAGGTTCATAAGAGAAGAGAAGCAGATACAATTCAGAGAGAAGAGATCACAGGAAAGGTCTCTTCACTTGCCTTCCCTTTTATTTCAATCCATTTCACATCTCAGTCATTAAGATTGCAACTTAAACCCTTTAGATCTCATATTATATAAAAATTTTATAAAATATTTTTATTATTATTTTAAATAATCATGGTTAAAATTTAGTAGTTTAATTTTATTTACTTTTTTAAAAATTTAACATTTTATTCATAATTTTATAAGATACTCTTTTGATCTTAAATATAAAACTTTTTTTGTAGTGTAAAAAGGATATTATATTTAGAACCGAAGGAGTATAAAATTTGAACTGTTCAAATTGTAATCTTATTATTAAGATGGGAAGTTGAAGAAAATGGACAAAAGGAAAGGAAGTGGAGAGATCCTTCTCCCCATCATGCCTCATCTAAATGCCTTGATGACTTGTTCTATTCCACCCTTTATAAGCTAAATTATCATATCTCCAGGATTATTATCCTCAGGTTAGTCATAGCCCAATTCATGTTTTAGCCCAATTCCTTATCCCCAACGCCAATTTATTTCACTCATAGGGTTGATTTTTTTTTTTTTAAATAAGCATAGGGTTAACGTTAAGAAAAAGTATCTAGTGATGAATAAGGGTTGGGTCTAGTGAATAAGTTAATTCCTCACAATATGATAAATTAAAATACATTATATTTAGTGTCTAACAGTGCTTTAAACATGATTGACTCTAATAGGAAAATACATGCGTCTAGGGGGAAAAAAAGAAGTACCAAGCGCAGCGGAGGAGCAATGGTAGCAAGCTTTTTTTTTTAAGTAGAATAAAAGACCAGAGCCAAAATAGCATAACACATCCTATATATTCCCTTGACAAACTTTACTCATAAAAACATAAATTCATGGCAAATGTGCTAGGCATCCATGGTAACTGTTAAAAAGTAAATCTATCATCAATAGCCCAATGTATAATTTGAGCCACTTTAATAATATTAACTCATCATATTCAGCCGCTTGCATACATAAATAATATTGATGCATGGCACAAGTAAGTTTGTCAGTTTTGCCCCCTCGCATCTTGCTCAAAAAAAGAACCGTAATCTGATCGATCACCTTCCATTGAAACCCAATCCAATATAATAGGTTTAGTTTGTCCATTCTCATGCTTAGGATGTGTCGGTGTGCTGAAAGGAAAATTTTCAGCAAGACACAATAACCTATTATGCTTAGCATTCCCAGAGTTGAAAACAAAATGAAAAAGTGAAAGACAACAGTGAATAAAAAAGTTGAGAAGCATTCATATATCAAAAGCAAAGTGGGAATCTCAATAGGAAAATGAAGCTTAATTCCCCGATCAAAGATTAACCAAGGAATCACATTCTTAACCCATGCGGCAACAATTCTCAAATTATATCATCCAAAGCAATTGGTAATATATGAGAATAACAAGTAATTATGCCAACAGAATTTCTCACATCGCACAGTCACAAGCCCAATTATCACATCTTGAGCCCCATTATCTCTGGCCCACAGTTGTAGCCCAGTTCATGTTTGAGCCCATTCATTACTTCCTACCAAAATAACCCTGTATCTTACTTCAACTAAATAAATCTCAAGCTCGATTATTGTTGGTTTCCTAGCTAGTTGTTCATTATTTATCTCCCTATATGTCTTTTATTTTTCAGTTTGATATCCATTCCTTTGCAAACTTTGATCTTTTTTTTTTTTTGGGTTTCAACAGGGTATGGATTTGGGCAGTCAATGCATTTACAAGTGTACAGTTCATCATGGGGCACACCTGCAAATAGGATCAATATCAGCAAATTTCCCAATGGCATAATTTTTGTCCTCCCATGAATGACAAATACATCAATATTAGGATTGTTTTGAATGAACATTATTGGCATCTTCCAACCATGCATTTAATACAAAAGCTCAAACAAACACTTCTAGACATGACTTCTTGAACATGTCAGCCAATGCAACAGAGCAAGCAGCGTGGTGTGTACTTTAAATTCTTAATGTCCCCGAGGAAGTTATCAATTCTATGAGGATGAAGATCTTAGATTTTGCTAACAATATGATTAACAATGCCCACAAGAACTATGTTATTTTCTTCATGATGGTAGAGATTGATGTTAGCATTCACTACTCTAGTAGTTATTCGGCTGCAGAGGCATTTTTGGAGGATAAAAAAAGATACAAGATTGTCAGTATTTTGAAAGATGGGCTTGACTGTCCAATTTGCTTGGAAGGTATTGAAGTTGGGGCATCAGTGATTCACATTCCTTGTTCTCATTTGATGCATGATGGTTGCCTTCTCAACTGGTTGCTGAGAAAGAGAACTTGCCCTTGTGTCGCTCTCGAATTCTTTAGTTTTCAATTGTACACTTGAAAACATACTACTAAGGGTGTGTTTGGGATAGTGGTATCAAAAGTAATTTTTTTTTAATATGACTTTTATAGAAGTCAAATTGAGTAAAAATTAGATAGGGTAATGTGATTTATGTTTGGATTGAGTTTTGTAAAAAAGTCAGTTTGATAAGTTTAAACTTGTTTGGATGATCAATGTAAAAGTAACTTTAGATGCAAAATGACTTAAAAGGATATGAATTTTATTAAATAGTACATATCTAATATTAGATATATATAATGTGACTATTTTAAAAGAAGTAAAGGAAAATAAAATTATTAAAAGTAAAAAAATTTAATTTATTATTAGAAAGAAATTATATATATAATGTGACCATTTTAAAAGAAGTATTGAAAATAAAATTATTAAAAATAAAAAAATTTAATTTATTATTAGAAGGAAATTGAAAAATACTAAAATACTTAATTAAATATATTACAACTACAAATAAAACAAGAACACATAACACTAAAAAATCTGAAAATACTGTAACCTTCCTCCCCATATCACCATACTGGTATTCTTCCTATTGTGAAAAGCAAGATCCAATAGCTTCAACCCAAAAGTCCATTTAGACCCAAAAGCCAGATTGCAAAAACGGTATGCCAAACATCACTTTCAACATAAAAGTAGCTTTTGCAGGTTAAGATGCACGTTTGGGACTCCAAACGTGATCCCAAACAGGCCCTAAATGATTTTTACAGAAAGCCCATTTTGTGGTATAGTTGGCTTATGGGGCTCTGATGTTACATGTAGGGCTTGCTTTGGGGTTTGTGCTTCTTCTTGTGTTTTCAGCGATTGACCTTTATGGGTTGTTAATATTGTAAAACTGCACAGGATACAATGGCAACCAATGTGTCATAATTGGTCTGTAACAAGTGATTTTTTGAGAAAATAAATAAATTCCAACGCGGATTTCATTTTTTTTAATTATTATGGAGAAAGAATGCTATTCAATTCATGTTCTAGCCTAATCCTTTGTAATTTCTGTTGCTTTTACTTTTCAATCACTGATAGATCAAAATATGATGAAATTTACATCAAGTTTTGATTTAGCCACTTAAATTTATAAAGTGTATTTTCAATTCCCTTAACCCTAACACCATTAATCTCATTAATAGAAAAAGCTTGTGAACTTGAAGGACCAGACGTATATGTTAACCATAAAATTATTAGTATTATAATAGTATCATAAAATTTAATAAAGTTTTTTCATTAAATCTGAAAGAATTAATTTATTTGCATGGTTATTAGTACTTTTGCATCCTTAAAAAAACATTTGATATTAAGTGCATTTGGGCTCAAAACTTATAGGTATTTTTGCACTTTAACTTTTTCTCCCAAGTGAGGGGTATTTTGGTACTTTCATAATATTAGTGTGGGTCCCACTACAAAAAGTAAAGGCCACTAGTCAGGTTTAACGGCAGTGTCATTTTTGCTCTGATTTTATGAGTTTATAAGTAATTTTGTACCTCCAAAAAATTATGGTTGTGACTGCACTTTGAGTGAATATTGTTAGTACGAGAAGTAATAGACATGGAAAGAAATAAAGAATATTTAGTTAATTTTATTAATTATTCTTAATATTTTGATAGAGACCAAGTATGAAGTCACCGTGCAGTGGATTTATGTTATTGAATTATTTAGTCTGCTTGTATTTTATTAATATTTATTTTAGTGGTTAGTTTAATTGATGCACAAGTTTACGAGCAAGTGGAGTTTGTTAGAGCTATTTGTTGAGTCAAGTATTTAACTTTGAATATTTAAATCTGTTATTTTCCTAAAGCCATTAGTTAGTGGGCTAAATTTTAGGAAGTCAGCTTCCATAATCTCAAGAATTACCACTTTGTTCCCAAGTGTAAGTGATTTGGAGGAAAAAATTTTGATTCTAAATGTAAATAACTTGTAATATGTTTAATACTTTTTTTAATTTTATCCTTATTTAATCTCAACATTAGAACGAGAGAAAAAGGGGAGAGAAATAAGAATGATTTATAAATATAGAAGAGGAAAAACTTTAATGGAGGTAAAATTAAAAAATTATGTCAATTTAATGCATTCCTTAATATGAGAATGGATTGCAAGTGATTTACACCAAGGACAAGAGTAGTATCTAAATTTGATTTTCTTATTTTAAATGTATTCCAGCTCTATAAATAGGCTTACCATTCAATAAGATATAATTGAAAAATTAATAAATTTTTTATTTGCCTCAATTGGAGATTCTCCTTTTGTTGGCTAGGAGATTTAGTAAACTGAGATTATTACTTTGCTTATTCTTATTAAAAATTTCGCCTTGGCTGTAAGAGTTCTGAGAGTGAGATACTTGCCTCAACATCCCTTATAGAATTATCCTTCATTTTTATTTTCTGCCTTTAATTCTTCCCTTAACTTCGGTTCCTATCATATTTCCTCATTTAAGCTCCTTCTACATACATTAAATCCTTATGTTCAAAATTTAATTTGAAGCCAAACATGCTATTATCCTAAACAGTTAATATTTCCATGTGAACTAAATTTCCTGTGTAGTTATAAAAAATTGGCGTCATTGTTCATGGCTTCTGTAAATTGTAACTAGATACAGATTTCATATTATACATAGCGCTTGCTGTAGTAGAGTGCAAGCAAGAGCACGAAGAGCATACAGAGACCTACTTGCCTGTAACAACTTTAACTTTGGTGAAAAAGGACTTCACCACATTTCATGTATGAAAAGAAAAAACAGAGGAAGAACTCGGGAGATCTTCATGAGCTAACTATATTCTTGGAAAAGAACTGAGAATCTAGAACTAGACTCTGCCTACAGGGGAGAGTGGTGGGATGGGAGTATATTTTATATGTTCTTTCTGTTGGAGTCCATCATTGTTCTTTGAACTGAGTTGCTTAGAGGCCTCATGCGTCTTATTTATTTCTAACGCAATTTCTTTCTGGCAGCTTAAAAGAGAAACTGAAATGAAAAATGCCTGCAAATGAGTGATCGATGAACTGAATTCCACTGAGAAGAATCCATCCTTCAGTGGCATCAAAGTGAAAAGGGGTCTGTTTTGTTCAGCTCCTTCCTGAAAGTTATAGAAAGTTGACTAGTCAGTGGGCTGCAATATTTATTGTTGTGCACAATCATAGCCCTCAGTAGAAGGGTTAGAGTCATACCTGAACAAAAAGTTGGAAACGCCTTGGATGAGATTTTGAACCTCGAGTTATAATTGATCTTTCCTTTTGGTTTGAAAGGACAAGCAGTTTGCAACCAATGTCCCACCCCCCACAATCACACAATCCACCAGTTTTCCATCGATAGATCAATGGGGAGGGTTCGCCTTTGCTGGGTGAACCATGGATACCACCTGGTAGTATGACTGTAGTTCTACTGGAGACATCATTTTCTTTTGAGCTGCATGAGCAGCTATCTTCTGCCAAGCACTTTAGGCATTCATTGGTCAGAAAGTTAATATCATGATCTGCTCCTTGGCTGACATTTCCGCAAGGGATCTCAACAACGACTGCTGCAAGCTCCTGGCTCGGGATGAACTTAGGTGTTATTTGATCTTTCTGGCCAATTTCAACACTCAATAGAACAAATTCTTTGACAAAACACTGCGTCTTAGAGCTCTTATTGCTTGGTTTAGCAGTTGTTGAGCTTAAAGACTTCATCTGGCCAACAACATTGTGGACATAACGAGAACTTTTATCTTTGCTTCTGTTACTTATCCATCCACCACTCTTCTTTTTAATCTCATCGACGAGGTAAAATGTAAAACAACCTGAGTCATCCTTCTCCGGGGAGGCTGATTTTTTAATGGTGGCAGCGAGAATCTTTCTTTCATTGTTGAGCACAAATTTGAATATAGGGACTCCATTTTTTATTGTAAGATGCAAAAGAGCTTGAATTGAGGAGCCCTCGCTCTTTTCAGCATGCGATATTGATTCCTTGACACTGTTTGTCTTGAAGTTAATTGGACCAATGGTTCCTTTAGTTGCTTGGCTTCTTTGAGCTGAGTGGTGCATCTCCGTTGACTTGTGCTTCAATATAGGCTCTAATATTCTTCGAAAGGGGCTGGACCCGGTTCTCCTATGACTGCGCACCTTCTCCTTGCTTGAATTATCCAAACAATCAGAAGATTCAGAAGTCACAGGACCAGACTTTACGCTGACATATGTGGAGCGAAACTGTGGCAGAGAGGACCCTGACCCCTCTTTGAAACTAAAACTTCTTCCAATCCGTCCTAAACTGAAGCTAAACCGACGATTGGGTGATGGAGTCCTTCCTTTCGGAGCTGTCTGTTCAGCGGTTTCTAGATCCCCTGATTTATTTGAGTTATCGTGAACACAATGATTTCCGAGCTTATCATCTAATGCATTCTTTTCATCGTACGCACCTTCAAACTGCAAGCTATACATCTTCTTGGACCCAGTAGTAGAATGACTACTATCCCGATCAACATTACTTTTGTGTTGCTCGAATTTCGCTGTTGGAGCTGGCTCAACCACACAGGGTAATGGACATGAGTGTGGAATTTCAAAATTTACATATTCAGAGTAAACATCATCAATAAGGGAAACATCTGACGGTCCGCCTTGACTTGATTCTTTTACGTTCTCATCAAAAGGCATTCTTGGTTGGTGAACCCGTGGATTACTTGATTGGATAATTTCTTGCGGGTGAAGAAGCACGACATTACTTGGCTTGTCATAGCATGGTTTGTGACCAATATTGATATCTGACTCTGAAGGCTTCTCTGCCGCTTTCTTAACTTCACTATTGCAGACACTCGTTTTCTTCTTAGAATAGCATGAGACCCCTTCGCCTTTTGGCTTTAATGAAGCAAGTCCCATGCCAGAAGTAGACTCACGAATTTTGCTATTCTTCTTTAGGCTAGAATCCTGTAATCCCTCCAAGCTCTTATCAGCTCCAACATTCATGTTTCTGTTAGGAACTTGTGAGAACCCTTGGTGCCGCAAGTTCGATGCAAGGTTTCCCATCTGTAGAGTCATTTTATCTGAGTGTTTCCTCTTCACCTTTTCAAACGATAACTCTATGTGATTTCTCCTGAAGGACTCATATGTTGGGGGTACGACTCTCTGCTCATCTGTAATGCTCTCAGCTTCAGATTTAGAGTAGTGAGATTGTTTGACATTCTGAAATGGTTGTTTGGAATTTTCAGGAAAGCCTCCCTTATAAGATGCCTTAGTACTTGAAGATAGGAAACCTCGTTGGTTAACAAGTTTGTCATTAAGACCAGCACTTGCAAATGATTTAGGGAACACTCTTGAGGTTGATTCCCTGACACTGAATGACGTGAAATTGGTACCAAATGCTGGGACATTCGTTTGCTTGTGATTCCATTTTTCAAGTCGTGTCCAATCTAGAACCCCAACATTTAAAGCCTTTCCGCGAACGTTTTCTTCTCCATCAGTGCTCCAGAGATAACCTGGTAAATTTGTCATGTGCTTGACAAGCTCATCCTTCCTACCTGCATTTCCTTTTACCTTCTCATGGTTGTGACTCTTCCAATCCGCAACCTGCTGTGCTCTGTAATTGAGATCACCGCATATGGCAGAACCAACACCATTCTTAGATTTCAACTTATCCTCCTTACTCGTCTTTGAGCTGCTTTGTTGTTTTGAGCTGATCCTTTTTAACTCTGAAATGAATCCCATTTCCTCAGAGGGTTTCACAAACTAATCTTCTTGGCTGTACCTCAATGGCATGGCACGGCATTCACTCAAGCTTTACTTCAGAACTTCATCCCAAAGTTACTCCGCAATGGTTTGCAGCATGCTCCCGTCATTATCTGTCGACGAAATGAGTTTCAGAACGCAATAATGATAAGATCGGAATAAGAAAAACAATATGTCACCCTGAATTTGAATGCATCTTTCCGATCATTATCAGAGGCATAAATAGCTGAGAAATATGGAGACGAGAAATCTGGCCATCATAAATTCAACAATCTGAGTTTCGGGTCCAAACATAGTTAGATTTGTTAATGTAAGTATAGGAACCTGATTTTGACGTTTTCTAGGAAAACCTATGCGAGAAAGCTGTGTGAAGGAATTATTAATGAACAAAGAAAATGAGCAAATCTGTATAATTAAGCACCAGTGTCATAAATGAATGAACGAAGTGATAGAAACCTCAACTGCGCCTTAACTACTCGTAATAAAGAGTGAAGAGAGGATTTAATTGAATTAATATTAACTGATGCAACTACCTGACTTCGATAAGCTAGTACCAGATATGAGCGAAACAAAAAGTGGATCAAAAACTGAAATGAAATCGAATCTGGCATTAGGGAATTCCGAACACCAAGCTCTGTTAGGTTGCTAATAAAGCTGTAAATAAATTGACAAAATAAATATAAAAAAAAAATAACACAATACACTCCAACTGGGAAAGTAAGAGCAATGAACTAATGTTCCCGTTAAACGAAGAAAGCGAAAGCAGTGACTACTTCGTCCACTTTCAGCTGAAGATCCCCTGCATTTCCTTCATTTTCACCGCAAGAACAGTTAAAAAAGCAAGAAGAAAATCTCCAGAAACAGATAGTAATCGAGAATGTACCATTTCACAATATCCCCAGTCTCTTTGAAATCAAGAACAGAGATCGCCCACTTAAACACCGGTCGCCGATCCAGGGAAAAATCTGAAACAAAATAATTGGGAATCAAAGTAGATTACAAGCGAAGCAAAGAACATTAGCTAGAGAAGAAAAATCAATGACGATGCCGTTGATGTAATCAATAATTTCTTTGTAATTCGTACATGCATGTCTCTCGCTGTTCTTTCCTTTCTCGGAAAAAATGGAGGAAAATCATGGCCAGAGTGTGTGAGAGAGAGGGAGGGATGCAGTGGTGAAGTAAGTGAGAGTGTGAGAGAGACAAAGAGAGAGACTGAAAGGGATTCGTTTTCAATGGAACGGTGAAAAGAAGAAAAGGGAATTGGTGGAGGAGGATCGGTGGGTCCCACAGTGAAGACTTCTTTCTTTGTCACGGATCCCTACGTCGAAGGAATGTGGGACCCAGATTTCGCCCCCTCTTCTAAATGCCATGCTATTGCCGTTAGGGCTGTTCACGGGACGGATCGGGACCGGGACAGGCCCGTCCCGGTTCCGTCCCGGTGAACAGTAACGGGACAGATTTTCTGTCCCGTGTCCCGGTCCGTCCCGGGGTTGTCCCGGTCCCGGTCGGGACGGGACGGATCCGGGACGGGACCGGGACGTCCCGGACATTTTTTTTTTAATTTTTTTTTAATTTTTTTAATTTTTTTTAAATTTTTTTAAATTTTTTTTAATAAAATCTGAATTTTTTAATTATATTTTTTTGAGCTTAAACCTTATAAAAAACATCTTTTTATTTTTTATTTGTTTGGGCACTCTTAAACAAAAGCTCAAAATATTACATATAATAATCATTAAAAATTCTAAACAAAAGCTTTTAACACAATAAAAACTTGCTAAAAATTCTAATAATCAATAATCTCAAATCATTAACAAATATAAAAACTTTAAATAAATATATCTATAGTTCCATACAATAGTCTCAAATCTTAAAAAAACATGAAAAAAATGATATTATATAAATAGAATAAAAAATTAAAAAAAAAAAAGGACCGGGACGGGACCGGGACGGGACGACCCCGTCCCGTGTCCCGTCCCGTCCCGGTCCCTTTTTTGTCCCGTCCCGGTTTGTCCCGTCCCGAAAAATTTCGGGACGGATCCGTCCCGTCCTAATAAGACCGGGACCGGAACGGGCCGACCGGGACGGGCCGGCCTTGAACACCCCTAATTGCCGTATACCTTCTCTAGGTGGCTGTCCAATCCAAAATTTCCGGCCTTTCCACGTCATTTATAATATCGATTTAATAGGACGAAAAAACCAGATCAGGATGACTTTATTTTGAATTTAAAATAATTATTCATATTCTTTTCATAAAAAAAAAAATTATTCATATTCCTATTTTAATAACTCCAATTTATTAAATTATGTGGGATTAATGTATTGATGTTTCATTTACTTATAAATTAATTTTTTATTTAAATATTTATCTTTTAAAGATTATATATATTAATATATTTTAATATTTTAATTAATTTATATTATTTTAATTATGATTATACTGATCTATACAACTACAATTAAATTGTTGATCTTTGAATTACCACCTTAATTGATGTACTCACCAGCTCGGTTTTCATTTTAAGTGTAATACTTCCTCCGGTCAACAATATAAGTTATTATAATCAATTCATCAATAGCAAAAAGGAAAAATATCAGATCAAGTTTCTTGTATCCATTATATCAAGTTATTCAATCATACATGATCATGTATTTTTTTTTCGTTTTGTGTAGGTTTATAATTAAATGCTGATATTTCAAAAATAAAATACATGATAATGTGTGATAAGAAAACATGACATGATGAATATAAAGAGTTTAATGTAGGCATTCTCCTATCAAAAAATAGTAGTAAATTTACTAAATGTGTTTCGAATTCAAAATTTTTCTCAACTTTATTTGTGTTAAACGAAGTTGTGAAATATTGAGAAAAATGCAAAGAGTCATGTATGAACATTAATTATAAGGACAAAATTGACAAATAAGCATTAATTACTTTACAAATGACCTATATTTAAATGAAATCATTCTTATAAAAATAACTTATATTGTGAATTGAAGGGAGTAACTCAATTCATTTTGTTTTTAAAAAATTTATAAATTTTTCATGAGCTCTTCGTATTAAGAAAAAGTTTTCATTAAAGGAGTAGTTTCTAATGTAAATAAATAAAATGAGTATTTTAACAAAATTAATATGTATTTTTAATAAATAATTAATTTAATTAATTTTGTTGATCTCTAAAAGTTAATTATTTTTTTCAGAACTGCAAATTAATTATGATCCTGTTTGGCAAAGCGGTGAAAATCTCCTATAAACACGTTTCACATAAGTCAAGACAAAATTCTTCTTACGTATTTATTTCGTATTTCGTAAATTATTTTTACCAGAAAGCCTAGCATGAAATTGAAGAATGAAGAAGAAAAGAATCCATAACCCTCGATTTGTGCACGAAAACAATATCTTTACGTTTGAGAGAAATGTTTCTCCTTGGTTTTTTAAATCCCCGAAAGAGAGAATTGTTTCTTCTACATCAAATTGGATTAATATCATGCTTTTTAGCAAGATTGTTTTTGCTAAACATTACATATTCCCCTTTTGAATTAGTTGGGGGTGATTTTGTATCATAAAAGGTAAATATGTTAAAAATTTATCTCAGGTAAAAACTTCGCAACAAAACTATAAAATTAAATACCAGCGAGAATTAGATCTAATTAAAAAATTACTCGCTTAAAGTTTAAATTTATGTTATGTTAACAGACAGTGCGCATATTTAATTCACAACTGCATCTTAAATATGATTAGGTGGAATTTACCGGTGTCTCAGTCGTGAGCAGCATCCCAGCAGCCTCCTTTCTGTTCCTCTGGTTTTTCATACTTAATTTCATTTAAAAAAAAAAAAAAAAGAGCGAAGAAAAAGAAACAAGAGGCTAAGCCTAAAGCTATGAGAGGGATGGTAAGGGCCCACATGGTAATTATTTGGACTTCAATACCAATGCATTGCGCCTCTTCTTTCTTTGTCTTTTTCTCTCTCACTTTCTCTTTCCTCTTTTTTCTTTATTACCCTTCACTCTTCCCCATTCCTCTCATTCCCCTCGCTTCCTTTGCAATTCCAATCATGCTCCCTCATGCCCATTTTACATCATCTATAGTTAACTTAATTTTTTTGTCATAAAAAAGAACAATTTGAAAGATTCAATTTAATATCCTTGAAAAAAAAAAATAAACCCATTCAAAAAAACATACTCTTCTGATTTTATTTATAAAACACTTTCAGCATATTTCACAAAGATAAAAAAATCTTAAAATATATTAACTTTCTATTAAAATATGATAATTTTTTAATTTTATCCATATTTAATATATATACCTTTCAAAAGAAATAATAACCTACACTATAATAAATGAAGGACAAAATAATATATTCACACTGAAAATTTAATGAAATGACTTTAAAATATGACCAAAAAATATTCTCTCTCTGCCCTATAAATAGGACCAGAGTAGTAACTAATTCAGTATTATGGGTTTGAATCACATTGCTAATGTGAGGATTTTAGGCTTTTTTACCGAAATGCTACAAACAATAAAATTATATAGAAAAATGCTGTACTTTTAAAAGTATTTACCAATATGCTGTACTTAAAATAGTTTTTGACTAAAATAACTTTCAAATTACACACAAATTGTTTTTGGCATGAACGACTTCAGAAGTTGTTCTTGACGTGAATGATTTCAGAAATCTTTCTTGGCGTGCACGATTTCGCTTTTTAAATTTTTTTTTAAATCAAAAAGTGAAATCGTTCACACCAAGAATGATTTCTGAAATCGTTTACACCAAAAGCGATTTTATTTTTTTCCTATTCACTCCCCATACAAGAATCTTTGTCAGTTTAAATAATATAAGTTTAAAAGATTTTATAAATTATTTAAATTTATAATTCAAAACTTTTAAACACTTCTTTGTTACAAAGATTTATAAACATATTTAGTTAAATATATATTTATTAAAAAAATTAGTTAAAGTTTTAAGCAAATCTTTTATGTTTGCTTTAACTAAATGAAATTAATGTAATTATAAAAATATAATTTAGGAACTTATTAGAATCAGAAGTAAAATAGTAAATAAATTTTATTTTAATATAAATTTCAATTAAAAATAATATTTTTAGAATTTTTTTTGGAATACCTCTATTAACAGTATTAACTAATTGGACTAAACTATATGTTTTTAAAATAGTAAAAAAATCTATGTAATTGATGCAACTTAGAAAGATAGTCAGAGTATTTTACTCTTGATTCAAAACACTCATATCATGACACGTCATCACCAATTAAATAAGGCATAAGTAATGAAAAATTGAAATGAATGAAGGGCGCTCATAATTTCTTTTTTTCATTTTTCCTTTTCCATGCTATTGCTATATTGCATTTTTTAATTGGTGATGACGTGTCATGATATGAGTGTTTTAAATCAAGAGTAAAATATTCTGACTATCTTTCTAGGTTGCATCAATTACATAGATCTTTTTTCTATTTTAAAAACATACAATTTAGTTTAATTAGTTAATACTGTTAGTAGGAGTATTCTAAAAAAATGCTAAAAATATTATTTTAACTACAATTTATATTAAAATAAAATTTATTTACTATTTTACTTCTGATTTTAATAAATTCATAAATTATATTTTTACAATTACATTAATTTCATTCAGTTAAGACAAACATAAAAGATTTGCTTAAAACTTTAACTAATTCATAAATTATATTTTTACAATTACATTAATTTCATTCAGTTAAGACAAACATAAAAGATTTGCTTAAAACTTTAACTAATTTTTTTAATAAATATATATATTTAACTAAATATGTTTATAAATCTTTGTAACAAAGAACTGTTTTAAAGTTTTGAATTATAAATTTAAATAGTTTATAAAATCTTTTAAACTTATATCATTTAAATTGGTAGAGATCCTCGCATGGGGAGTGAATAGGAAAAAAAACAAAATCGTTCTTAGCGTGAATGATTTTTAAAATCATTCACGCCAAGAACAACTTGTGTGTAATTTAAAAGTTATTCTTGTCAAGAATAAGTTTAAGTGCAGTATATTAGTAAATATTTTTAAAAGTACAGTATTTTGGTATATAATTTTATTGTTTATAGCATTTTGATAAATTATCTATAAATACCTTTATAATTATTTTTTAGGTTTAGAGGTATGTCCTAATTCTAATAAATTCCTAAAACTCATCTTGCTTGAACTTTTTTTGACAAGAAAAAAGACAACTCTTTTGAAGAAGCCTTAACATACAAGTCGGTTGCCAAATTTACTCACTTAAAAATCCACTTAATTTCTTATATTATTTATGATTTATAAACAACATATACTTGTTTCTTAAACTTTATAAGAGTACCACAAAATTTTTTAAATTGCTCAAATTTCATGCATAATGTAAAGAGAGAATTACAATGAGATCTTTAAAAAAATACTAAAAAGTCCGAATAACAATCTAAGCAACTTGTAATGATAAATTTCAGAATAAAAAATGACAATTTTTTATACTTATTTTTTAATTATTTTTTTAAAATTTATTGTAATTCCTCCTAATATAAATGTCATAATGGGTAATAGTAAAATATTAAAGTTGTTATTATTAAGTACAAAAAGTAAAATATATAATATACAAACTAACAAGTTAAGAATCAGGTGAAAAAAAATAACAAGTTAAGAATCAGGTAAAAAAAAAAAACAAGTCAAGAAGGATAGAGTAGAAAACTTAGCACATAAGCACATTCAAAAAAATAAAAGAAGTAAAATATATAATGCGTTGAAGTGTTGTCCGCCCCCTAGTGAACATGCCCCGGCAATAATTCTTCTCTCTTCTTTTATGTCCTTTTCTTTTCTTTTCTTTTTGACAAGAAACAAAACCCTTAGCCAACAATACTTCTTTTCTTTAATATCTTCCTTCTTTGATTGATTTATGATAAAGACAGCCGAAAAAGGAAAAGAGTGCCATGTGCTCTAATAAAGTGGAAATAATAGTACGTCATATTTTTGAAATCAGGATGAAACATATCTGCGTATTTGAAAATATTTATTTCCTTGCGCTTTTATTTTATTTTTCAATGTCTTAAAATGCTGAGCCAATCAAATCAAATCAATATATTCCTTCAGGTCTAAATATAAAACATTTATACATACTAATATAAAGATTTTATATTTAGAACCGGAAGAATATATATATAAGAAAATTATTATACATCTCGTGATATTACATGAAATTTGGTTAACAAGTGGTGCTGTTTATTTTTCAGGAATGATACAGTATGTTAGAGTTTTGCATAAATAAGTGATTATTTTTAATTTTTTTCTATAAAAATAACAATAATATGTTTTTAAAAATAAAAAAGTAAGAACAACTTTTATTTATTTTCTTATTTTTTATTTCTTTTCCAGCACAATAAGTGAAGAGCCCTGCCGGTAGTACTTGATGTAAGGTGGGGTCTTAGCTCTCAGCACTACGACTTTTTATAATATATTATTCTGATTTTAAATATAAAACATATTTTTTAATATAATTTATATTATAATATTAATTTTATATTTAGTACAGGATGAGTATCGTTCAGTCTAATACTTTCTCCATTCCTTATTATAAGAGATATTTGATGTTTATAGTATGTTCTTATATGTAAGAGACATTTAAAAGTTATATCTATTTTTTTGTGTTGATTTCTTACTTTACTTATATTTATTTTGTCTCTAACTCACACTCTCTCTTCCTTCCACTTCTCTTCCTTTTAATAATTTAATTATTTTCTCTCATACTCTCTCTCATGCTCTCTCTCCTTATTAACGAGAGCATTTTTGAAAAAAATTATACCTTTTTATATTGATCGTTCTTAACTAATTTTAATTATTTTTTTTTAACGTAATTCGGTTATTCATCTTTTATGATAAGAAACGAAAGGAGAAATAAGATAGGATGTGAAAAATTGGTTCCAATACGCGCGAGGGATCTCATGAGTCTAAAAGAAATCTAAACTTTCACTAAAAAAAGACATCTAAAATTCAAAATACATGCTTTTTTTTTATATAGTAAAAATACCTGCTTTTGAAGTTCATGCTTTAGAAGAAAACTACCAGATTTTATCTTGACGTAGTGTTCAGCCACACACGTCCACTTACTTTAACTAATTAAAATTTTTTAATATTGAGCTCATTGTTAAAATTTTCCCTTCCTTTTTTCATTTCTCTCATACACCAAATAGAACCTTAAAAAATTTAATAAAAAACTGATAACTAAAACGATAATCCACTGAATATAACATAATCAAAAGTTCTGGAAATCCATGCTCATATTCTCATGCCAGCATTGTACTTCGCCAAATATAAAACTTCATCCTCCCGCAATTTAAATATCGCACACTTATATAAATATATATCATATCAGTATTAGAGAATAATAAAAAAAATTATATAAATTTGTCTAGAAAATTTTCAATCAAGAGCACTAGATACCCATAAGTTTTTTAGAATAAATTTGTATCAAAGTTTAAAATCATAATAATTTTAAATGCTACTGGTTTCTATCACTATATTAATAGACAATATTAATTTTTTAATTGTATGGGATAAAATTGTTATGGTTTTTAATTTTTAAAACAAATTTGTGCACACAAAAAGAACTTTTTAACCAAATGATCTATACCAAAATGCAAAAATCAAAAACAAATATTCCAAGACCGCCGAAAACAACTACTAGCTAATATAAATGTTGCCCATCATCACAATCTTCAACATTAAACCTGCGAACTTCATTCCAAGATTGTTCATCACCATACTTCTTCATAGTCCAAAACCTCAGACACTTTTCATTTTCAATTGGACAACATTTGTAGAGACTTCCCTTTAATTCTCCTAGCCCAACACAACTGTCAGCATTCATATTTGTGATTATGATGGATGATATTGCAGAAGAAAAAGGCAATGAATTTGACATCTCACTTTCTAAGTCAAAACATAAAATTGACACTTCCGTCCAATGATAACCAAGCCAATGAAGCAATCCATTCAAACAAGTGAGAGATTTACTTTCCAACGTCAATGTGAGTATTTCAACAACTCTATCATCATGGATTGCACTGCGATCATATATTCTTATCACTTTATATTTATTAGTTTTCTTGAGATAATCTAATCCAAAGAAAATGCAGGCATGTAATGATCAGTTTATTATTCTTGGATCGTGCTGGAAGTCTTATAAACTCTTCTGTGATTGGGTTACAAACAATAAGTGGCTTTGGGTTGCAAAGAAACCGTGAATTCCTAGTAACTGATCCTATAGGAAAAGAAAGCCATTGCAAGAATTCCCTATATCAAACTTGTCATCTTTTGGCTTACAAGCAAGTATAGTTTTATTTTCATGCCCCTCCTTCTAGCCTCTAGCATCATGTCAAGCATCATTTTGGAGCCGCGAAGAGGAAGCTTGAACTTAACTTCAAGTTTCATGCGATTGTCACAACTAGGTTTAGGAGAATCCTTACATGAACAAACATGACCAAACTCATTATTACTTAAGAAATTCTGGGTTTCATTACTCTCAAACTCATCAAAATCAAGCAGATGGAAAGTTCTAAAAGCATGTTAATCAAATTCTGAAAATTAACCCCCCATCGGCCAACAGCAAACTTGATAGGTGCCACTGGCATCTCACGGAAAGAGGTGATTTCTCTGTGAACTTAGCCTATAGACTCTTGAAGCAAGATGAGTGGTTAGAGGAAAGTAATATATGAGACTACATATGGAAGTGGCTTGGTCCTCAAAGGATCAGGACCTTTCTTTGGCTTGTTCTTAGTGACAAACTACTCGCAAACAGCGAAAGAGTCAGATGACATACGGCCATTAGAGACTCTTGCAAACTTTGCAATGGCCAAACTAAAGACCTAAATCATCTCTTCAGATTTTGCAATGTTGCCTATTCTTGCTGGCGGTTGATTATTCCAGCTTCAGATCTATCCCTACTTCTACTCCCAGCCTCTTAAAGAATGGCTGACTAAGAACCTTAGACGAGATGAGAACAGACCCTCTTGGAACATCCTGTTTGGTATCTTATGCTGGGAGTTTTGGAGAGCCAGGAATGGTGCGGTGTTTGCCAATGAAAGAGTGCGTTGCCACAGTGTACTTAATGAAGCCATCGCTTTGGCTCGATCTACACGCCATCCTTGCTAATGAGTCTCTTAGATTTTTAAGCTTAGACGCGGCTAACCGGTCGTTTGATAAATCACTTTGTTTTTGGGTAAATTTCCTCCATTTGTATATATCCTTTGAGTAATGAATCTTCTTTTATACTAAAAAAAACTTTAAATATATAAAAAAATAATCATAAAGACTATTTGCCAACAAGTATTTTTATGTATGTAATTGATCTTCAAAACTTGCTTTTTTTCTTTAAAATACTAGTACTTCTTTGCCTCTCTCTCTTTTTCTTCTATGCCTCTGCTTTCTCTTCTTGCCTCTCACTCTCTTTTATTCTCTCTTCCTCTATCTCCCAACTACCCATCTCTCAGTTTTCTTCCTCTTTTAAATAACCTCTATTTGGTGGAAAAGTTTTTTTTTTAATTTTAATATAATATAATTTAAATAATAGTTTTTAAATAATAATAATTTATTATTTAATTTAATTTAAAATAATAATTTGTAACAATTCTCTCTTTTTAATATTATTTTTTTATAATTTTTATATCAAAAATAAAAATCAGGTTGTTACAAGTTTGAACTTTATTATCATACATTCCAACGTCGCGCACACAATTCAAATTCACTTAGGCACAATACCAACTCTGTTTTGCTCTGTTTTTTCGGGTATGAACAAAATAAATTCGCAAATTAAAATCAAACACAAATGAAACAAGTCCAAACCAACTAAGGGTGTGTTTGGATAGAAACCAAACCATGATTTCAGAAGTGTTTTTACGGATTACGAAGTAAATATGTGGAGGAGATTATCTCGTTTTGCGAAAAAGTGCTTCTGAAACCACGGTTTGGGGATACCCAAACAGGCCCTAAATAACATATAAGTTATGCTTCATATATACACCATATATTCATTAACATAGTGGAATGCTTCTGCAATCTCCCAAAATGTGCAAGAACATGGTGACCTGCTCACAAACAAGCATGGCAACTTCCTCATCAACTTGCTCATAGATGTTGCTACACACAAACATTACAATCAATAGCTTTCTCATAGCCACAACCATAACTAAACAAGCGACCATGACTTCCAGACATATATTTTCGTACTCTTACTGTATGATCTACAAAATGTTTATGAGGTTCCATCTTCAACACATGTTTATCAATTCATACATAAAACCCAAGTTTAAGTTTGTTCAAAATGTTTCCATTATTTCTATTGACTTCGACACAGCAGCAGTAACAAACAAAGCAAGAAGAAAAGAAGAAGATTGTAAATGAAGAACAGAATAAGAGTAGAGGACAATTACAAACCTGTCAACAATGCTAGTTCCTGCTCTCAACACCTGCAAAATAGCATTCGTCCTCTTCAGCCTTCTCCATACATGATGATATCGTCTATGTCTAAGTCAAGCTCCAGTCTCTCTTTTTTTTTTTTGGTTTACGACTTTAAGGATAAATGAATAAAATGAGTTATTGCAAACGTGACAGGAAATTTGTTCCCCTGTTCCCCCACTTTAGGTGGAAACAGATTTTTAGTTATTTAAATAAAAATCAGATCGTGCCTTTCGTTTCATTCCTGCCTTTTCCTCGAACCAAACTAATGCCAATAGAAAATTTGGATTTTCCGTTTCCACTAGCAAATCTTTCGTGAGCTAAACGGGTCCATAGTTTAAGTGATTCGGCTGGGTGAATAGGTGAATCGCTGCCTACGAATTCAAAAAAAAAAAAAAAAAGAATCGCCAGCTAGTCATGACTCATTTCATTAAACCATGGCATAATGTTGGTGAACAATGTGATTCTCGCATAACTTGTTACTTGGGACTTTCAATTCTGTGCTAAAGTGGACTTGAATTATTGGACTGCAATCTCCTTAGAAAGAATAAGGAAGCATTTAGATTGAAACCAAATTATAATTTTAAAAGTAATTTTATAGTATATGAAATGAATATATTTTAATTTATGAAAAAATATTTTTAAAAAACATTTTCATCAATTTCAAACACCTCCTAGATCTATCTTCAATGATTACTTTAATCCACAAACCATCATGTTTGAACATAGAACACTCATCATAACTTAGGAAAGAACCGAGTAAACTCCTAATCTTTCTCAGTATCTTGTGTTTTGATTTGTGATTGCGGATTGCACCTAACTTGTTTTTATTTCAACAACAAAATGGTTAATCTTGCGTACATTCTTGGTGGGAAGAGTAACACCAAAATTCTCTTCCCGTGGTACGTCTATGAGTTGTGATCAGAATATTATCCCCTCAAAAATATTTTTACGGCTTACACAAAGATGCAATCCAGTGATGAGTCTTGTCATGATAATGCAACATAGCCTATGGATAATAATCTACACTCTACCCCCCCCCCAAAAAGTCCGAGCTGACAAGCAACTTTTGTTTTAGAATAATAAAAAAAAATTCAGCCCAAAAACAAATAACTGATTTCTTTTGTTATTATTAATTAAAAAAGCATGTTTTTAAAAATAATTTTTCACTTTTCAATCTAAATCTAAAAAGGATAGGATATGTTGATGAACTTTACTTTGTATCAAAGAATAAAAAACCGGACCGGTAACTAAACCGGTCAAGACAGTAGGTCAAGGATAACTGGTCAAACTAAAGTCGGACCGGTCATATTAAAATAATACAATTTAATTCAAGATATATAAATGCATTCCTATTATTAGAATAAAACAATCCTAATTCAGCAAACGATTTGACTATTCTAATATTCCTTAACGGCTCAACCTCAAATATGAAATTCAAATTTCATATATCAGTCAGTCTCACACAATAGAACAAGAGCAGAATCAAATTGACAAATTCAACTACCTATTTCAGTGTTTATACTTTCAATTTAGCCTCAGACAATCAGACGAGCAAAAAACAAAAAATGGCTTTGATATTGGAGAAAAAGAAAATAGCAAAGTGGAATAATCGGTATCGTGAAGAAGAAAAATGACTTTGAAGCTATAGTGCTATACGCACATATCTCAGTCTCACTCTTCAAAACCGGAACAATCAACAATTGCACAAAGCATGACCAATGAAGGAAAAAGCAGAGCACATCTAACTGAATGAAAGTAATGAACAAGACAACAAGAGCACAGAAGCTGGAAACAAGTAGAAGTAGAAGTAGAAGGAAGAACCTCCGAGTTGCGATAATGATTCTGCCACCGTGAAGAAGAAGCGATGACAGGAGGCGACCACAATGGCCTACTGCTTCAACTGTTTGACCTGCAATCCTAGACAATGTTACACGAAGATCTGCGACCTTCGATGGTGAAGAAAAATCCAGCACAATGAGAGTGGATTCAGCTAGGGATTTTCGATTTGGGAGAGGGGAGAAAAATGGTGAAAAGGCAAAGCAAAACTAAAGCTTGGGGGTGGTGGGAGCTGAGCTGAGCTTCGATTTCAACCTAGGCACCTAGCTTCTTTTTTTTTTTTTTCATGTTAAACGGCGTCGTTTTCTGGGATTGGAGGTTTTAAAAAAATAAAAGTGTCCAAACCGGGCAACCCATCCAACCGTCGAATTACCTGATTCTTATCGGTTTTTCACGGTTGAACTGGTTTAATATCGATTCAATAAGGCACCAGTTTTTTTTTTCAAACCAGAACGGATCGGCAACTGGTTCTCCGGTTTTCCGGTTGAACCTGCCGGTCTGGTCCAGTTTGGTTTGTTCTCCTTGCTTTATACCATCATTATTATTAGAAAAAATACATTAAAAAAATTAAAAATTATAATATTCTAATTCCAATATTTAAGAACTTAAAATTTAAAAAGAAGAACTGGTACCTGATATAATATTTTGTAAATATGATCAAATGATTAAAGTATCCTTATATCAAATTTTAAAAAAAAAGTTATCAAATTTATTATTGTCAGTAAATTTCTTATCATTAGCTGTTTAACACTTGTCATTATCAATTTATTAATAAAATTAGTTTAGCCTTTAGAAGAAGCATAATAGATATTTATAAAATATCTGATCAACTATCACTTACTTTTTTTTGGAATTTTAAAATCTTATATATCTTAATTGAAATATTATAATTTTTAATATCATTTTTTTTCTTATTATTATCATGTTATCATCTAATTATCATTATTATATTATAATCATTAAAAAAGGTACCCACCGCCAGAACAGCAAAATTGTCCTTTTTGGTTTTCGGTTAACATGGGTCAGAAAAGAACGAAATTCCAACTCCATCCATTCAATGCCCTCTCACGCGTTTTCCGTTCAATCCTCTCCTCATTTCCTACGCACATCCATTCTCCACGTCCAAGTGTGAAGGGTCGAGTTCGTCGGATCTCCTTTACTAAGTACCAACCATCCATCGCCGGTAAGACTTGAACTTTTTTAATTATGCTTCTTCTGAAGGCTAAACTAATTATTTCTG